CTGCTAGGTATTGCACACTAATTCTCCTTTTTTTTTTGGCTCAGTATATACTATTTTCTCCCCAAGATTCGTTCCAAGGGCTAGAGGGATATATCGTATAACTGTCAGTCACCTTACTTTTTTCCAAATAAATATTCTGAGGGGATTTAGTACAGTATATTTTAATGTATGTTAGCTTATATACCTTCATGATGTAGGAAGCTTTAAGAATCTTTTGTAACTAATAAAATACTATATTGTACTATTGTAATAATAACCCACATGGAGACAGAACCTCAGAAAATGAATTGGTTTGTATATTTTGACCCTCTGCTGGGGTTCTCTTCAGCAGATAGAAAAATGAAATGAGAACATGAATATATAGAAAGGTTGCACTTCTCAGCCATCCAGGTGAGTATGGAACATCAGGTCAGCAAGTGAGAAGGCAGGTCAGGGAGCAAGTGTGTGTAGTGTGTCAGGTCTTGAAACAGATGACTGGAACCAAGCTTAAAATTTGGGCAAGCAGTTCCTCATGCTGGTATTCTGTATTAGGTTAGGTGATTGCATGTACTACTTAACGGCAAATTTTGAAATAATGTCTTGTTTTCATTGTCCCTATGAAATATTAAAATTAGGCATTGTATCTGTGAAAGCAGATTTTTGCAGTTTTACATTTGTAGCTGCAGTGTGATTTATTTGATGGGGGTAGCTTCCCAATGAATATTGTGATTGTTGTTGCTAACATGTTGAAAAATGGCTGAATTCTCATGTTCATATCCATGTACCATATTTTAATAAATGACTAAAGTAAAGAAGTATCATTTATTTTGCAAAGTTTTTCATTTTATATTCTGCACTCTAAACATTTTCCATTTTTATTTTTTTCATATTTACACTATTGTTGCTGTCATGATCAATTTTTTCTCATATTACATAAATCATATTACATAAATATTACATAAATAGGTAGTAGGTTGGTAGACAGCAACCACCCAGGGAAGTACTACCGTCCTGCCAGATGACTGTGAAACAAAAACCTGTAACTGTTTTGCATGATGGTAGGATTGCTGGTTTCTTTTTCTGTCTCATAAACACGCTAAGATAACAGGGATATCTTGCTACTCCTACTTACACTTTGGTCACACTTCACAGACACGCACATGCATATATATATATACATACATCTAGGTTTTTCTCCTTTTTCTAAATAGCTCTTGTTCTTTTTTATTTCTTCTATTGTCCATGGGGAAGTGGAAAAGAATCTTTCCTCCGTAAGCCATGCGTGTCGTATGAGGCGACTAAAATGCCGGGAGCAATGGGCTAGTAACCCCTTCTCCTGTATACAATTACTAAAAAAGAGAAGAAGAAAAACTTTATAAAACTGGGTTGCTTAAATGTGCGTGGATGTAGTGCGGATGACAAGAAACAGATGATTGCTGATGTTATGAATGAAAAGAAGTTGGATGTCCTGGCCCTAAGCGAAACAAAGCTGAAGGGGGTAGGAGAGTTTCAGTGGGGGGAAATAAATGGGATTAAATCTGGAGTATCTGAGAGAGTTAGAGCAAAGGAAGGGGTAGCAGTAATGTTAAATGATCAGTTATGGAAGGAGAAAAGAGAATATGAATGTGTAAATTCAAGAATTATGTGGATTAAAGTAAAGGTTGGATGCGAGAAGTGGGTCATAATAAGCGTGTATGCACCTGGAGAAGAGAGGAATGCAGAGGAGAGAGAGAGATTTTGGGAGATGTTAAGTGAATGTATAGGAGCCTTTGAACCAAGTGAGAGAGTAATTGTGGTAGGGGACTTGAATGCTAAAGTAGGAGAAACTTTTAGAGAGGGTGTGGTAGGTAAGTTTGGGGTGCCAGGTGTAAATGATAATGGGAGCCCTTTGATTGAACTTTGTATAGAAAGGGGTTTAGTTATAGGTAATACATATTTTAAGAAAAAGAGGATAAATAAGTATACACGATATGATGTAGGGCGAAATGACAGTAGTTTGTTGGATTATGTATTGGTAGATAAAGACTGTTGAGTAGACTTCAGGATGTACATGTTTATAGAGGGGCCACAGATATATCAGATCACTTTCTAGTTGTAGCTACACTGAGAGTAAAAGGTAGATGGGATACAAGGAGAATAGAAGCATCAGGGAAGAGAGAGGTGAAGGTTTATAAACTAAAAGAGGAGGCAGTTAGGGTAAGATATAAACAGCTATTGGAGGATAGATGGGCTAATGAGAGCATAGGCAATGGGGTCGAAGAGGTATGGGGTAGGTTTAAAAATGTAGTGTTAGAGTGTTCAGCAGAAGTTTGTGGTTACAGGAAAGTGGGTGCAGGAGGGAAGAGGAGCGATTGGTGGAATGATGATGTAAAGAGAGTAGTAAGGGAGAAAAAGTTAGCATATGAGAAGTTTTTACAAAGTAGAAGTGATGCAAGGAGGGAAGAGTATATGGAGAAAAAGAGAGAAGTTAAGAGAGTGGTGAAGCAATGTAAAAAGAGAGCAAATGAGAGAGTGGGTGAGATGTTATCAACAAATTTTGTTGAAAATAAGAAAAAGTTTTGGAGTGAGATTAACAAGTTAAGAAAGCCTAGAGAACAAATGGATTTGTCAGTTAAAAATAGGAGAGGAGAGTTATTAAATGGAGAGGTAGAGGTATTGGGAAGATGGAAGGAATATTTTGAGGAATTGTTAAATTGTTGATGAAGATAGGGAAGCTGTGATTTCGTGTATAGGGCAAGGAGGAATAACATCTTGTAGGAGTGAGGAAGAGCCAGTTGTGAGTGTGGGGGAAGTTCGTGAGGCAGTAGGTAAAATGAAAGGGGGTAAGGCAGCGGGATTGATGGGATAAAGATAGAAATGTTAAAAGCAGGTGGGTATATAGTTTTGGAGTGGTTGGTGCAATTATTTAATAAATGTATGGAAGAGGGTAAGGTACCTAGGGATTGGCAGAGAGCATGCATAGTTCCTTTGTATAAAGGCAAAGGGGATAAAAGAGAGTGCAAAAATTATAGGGGGATAAGTCTGTTGAGTGTACCTGGTAAAGTGTATGGTAGAGTTATAATTGAAAGAATTAAGAGTAAGACGGAGAATAGGATAGCAGATGAACAAGGAGGCTTTGGGAAAGGTAGGGGGTGTGTGGACCAGGTGTTTACAGTGAAACATATAAGTGAACAGTATTTAGATAAGGCTAAAGAGGTCTTTGTGGCATTTATGGATTTGGAAAAGGCGTAGGGACAGGGTGGATAGGGGGGCAATGTGGCAGATGTTGCAAGTGTATGGTGTAGGAGGTAGGTTACTGAAAGCAGTGAAGAGTTTTTACGAGGATAGTGAGGCTCAAGTTAGAGTATGTAGGAAAGAGGGAAATTTTTCCCAGTAAAAGTAGGCCTTAGACAAGGATGTGTGATGTCACCGTGGTTGTTTAATATATTTATAGATGGGGTTGTAAGAGAAGTAAATGCGAGGGTCTTGGCAAGAGGCGTGGAGTTAAAAGATAAAGAATCACACACAAAGTGGGAGTTGTCACAGCTGCTCTTTGCCGATGACACTGTGCTTTTGGGGAGATTCTGAAGAGAAGTTGCAGAGATTGGTGGATGAATTTGGTAGGGTGTGCAAAAGAAGAAAATTAAAAGGGGGAATACAGGAAAGAGTAAGGTTATGAGGATAACAAAAAGATTAGGTGATGAAAGATTGAATATCAGATTGGAGGGAGAGAGTATGGAGGAGGTGAACGTATTCAGATATTTGGGAGTGGACGTGTCAGCGGATGGGTCTATGAAAGATGAGGTGAATCATAGATTGATGAGGGAAAAAGAGTGAGTGGTGCACTTAGGAGTCTGTGGAGACAAAGAACTTTGTCCTTGGAGGCAAAGAGGGGAATGTATGAGAGTATAGTTTTACCAACGCTCTTATATGGGTGTGAAGCGTGGGTGATGAATGTTGCAGCGAGGAGAAGGCTGGAGGCAGTGGAGATGTCATGTCTGAGGGCAATGTGTGGTGTGAATATAATGCAGAGAATTCGTTTGTTTGGAAGTTAGGAGGAGGTGCGGGATTACCAAAACTGTTGTCCAGAGGGCTGAGGAAGGGTTGTTGAGGTGGTTCGGACATGTAGAGAGAATGGAGCGAAACAGAATGACTTCAAGAGTGTATCAGTCTGTAGTGGAAGGAAGGCGGGGTAGGGGTCGGCCTAGGAAGGGTTGGAGGGAGGGGGTAAAGGAGGTTTTGTGTGCGAGGGGGCTTGGACTTCCAGCAGGCATGCGTGAGCGTGTTTGATAGGAGTGAATGGAGACAAATGGTTTTTAATACTTGACGTGCTGTTGGAGTGTGAGCAAAGTAACATTTATGAAGGGATTCAGGGAAACCGGCAGGCCGGACTTGAGTCCTGGAGATGGGAAGTACAGTGCCTGCACTCTGAAGGAGGGGTGTTAATGTTGCAGTTTAAAAACTGTAGTGTAAAGCACCCTTCTGGCAAGACAGTGATGGAGTGAATGATGGTGAAAGTTTTTCTTTTTCGGGCCACCCTGCCTTGGTGGGAATCGGCCGGTGTGATAATAAAAAAAAAAATAAATAACATAAATCATAAACAGAAAGCAGGTAAAACAATTCAAAGTTTACTTTTTCATTTCTGCAAGCCATATCCATAATTTGTCAGTGTCAACAGTTGTGTCAGCAAATTTAGACAAAAGGGAAAAATATTCCCACCTTTTATGCTGAAAGACATGCTGGATTCTTTGTGAGGCAGCACCTCTGGAGTGAGTGGTACCCCTCCTATCCTTAGGCATAAACCACTCAAACTTCCCCACTACATTAAAATGACCCAGCATTGGAGGGAATATGCATCAGATGGTCTTCAAAATTTTAGCATCTTCATATTCTGTATAATACTGTTCACAATATATTGATGTTACACTAAATTTTTAAAAATGACAAAGGGTATAGTGTAGTCCATATTTATAAGGATATAGACTAACAAAATTTTTTTAGTTGATAATTGACTCTGTTAATGACTTCATTTATTATTGCAGTGAGACTGGCAAAGTGCTAACAACAATGAAAGCTGGTGATTTCTTTGGGGAAATAGGAATCCTCAATTTGGATGGCCTTAACAAGTAAGTTAATATTTTATACTTGCAGCAGGATATTTGGTAGTTTAAATTCAAAAAATTATTTCTTTGCATAATATACAATGTTTAGTTTACATATAGTAAAATATTATTAAGCACAAAGAAAGCCACTAGCATGAGCATTTTGGGCAGAATAACCCTAATGCTTACACACTACTTAAAGCTAGACATAGATTATGGAGTAATAAATTGTACATTAATACAAACAAGAGGTAGCCAAAAATTTCATGATTAATGTTTATAGTAGAGAGGTTTCAGTATTATACAGTACAATTTTAAGTCTTTCAAACTGGTTGAATGATTACAGACATAGTATAGTGTTGGTTTAGTTATGTTTGGGAGATAAAATGATTTTTAATTTTTCTTTTTCTTTCAACGTACCAGCCATATCCCACTGAGGTGGGGTGGCCCAAAAGGAAAAACGAAAGTTTCCCCTTTTAAATTTAGTAATATATACAAGAGAATGGGATACTAGCCCATTGCTTCCGGCATTTTAGTCGCCTCTTATGGCATGGCTGACGGAGGAATTCTGTTCCACTTCCCATGGAGATGATTTTTAATTATAGCCCTTAATTGATTAGCAGGCAGTAGACCTTTTGCTGGTGTGGGCAATAAATTCCAGATCTTAGGGCCCTTTATGTGCATTGCATTTTTGCATAGGGTGAGACAGACACAAGGGATGTTAATGTTAAAGAGAGTTTTGTGCCTTGTTTTATGCCTGTGTATTCTGTTGTAGCTATCAAGAAGTTTGAGAGGAGGGTTTATATTAGAGTTTAATGTTATATATATTTTTTTTTATTAACACATCAGCCAATTCCTACCAAGGCAAGGTGGTCTGAAAAAGAAAAACTTTAATCATCATTCACCCCATCACTGTCTTGCCAGAGGGGTGCTTTACACTAAAGTTATAAAACTGCAACATTAACACCCCTCCTTCAGAGTGCAGACACTGTACTTCCCCCATCTCCAGGACTCAAGTCCAGCCTGCCGGTTTCCCTGAATCCCTTCATAAATGTTACTTTGCTCACACTCCAACAGCACATCAAGTGTTAAACACCATTTGTCTCCATTCACTATCAAATACACTCACGCATGCTTGCTGGAAGCTCACGCCCCTCGCACACAAAACCTCCTTTACCCCCTCCCTCCAACCATTCCTAGGCCAACCCCTACCCCGTTGTCCCTCCACTACAGATTTATACACTCTCGAAGTCATTCTGTTTTGTTCCAGTCTCTCTACATGTCCAAACCGCCTCAGCAACCCCTCCTCAGCCCTCTGGATAATAGTTTTGGTAATCCCACACCTCCTAATTTCCAAACTTTGAATTCTCTGCATTATATTCACACCACACATTGCCCTCAGACATGACATCTCCACTGCCTCCAGCCTCCTCCTCATTGCAACATTCAACATGCTTCACACCCATACAAGAGTGTTTGTACAACTATACTCTCATACATTCCCCTCATTGCTTCCACGGACAAAATTCTTTACCTCCACAGACTCCTAAGTGCACCACTCACCCTTTTCCCCCTCATCAATTCTATGATTCACCTCATCTTTCATAGATCCATCTCCTGACAGGTCCACTCCTAAATATCTGAATACATTCACCTCCTCGATACTCTCTCCCTCCAATCTGATATCCAATTTTTCGTCACTTAATCTTTTTATCCTCATCACCTTACTCTTTCCTATATTCACTTTTAATTTTCTTCTTTTGCACACCCTACCAAATTCATCCACCAATCTCTGCAACTTCTCTTCAGAATCTCCCAAAAGCACAGTGTCATCAGCAAAGAGCAACTGTGACAGCTCCCACTTTGTGTTTGATTCTTTATCTTTCAACTCCACACCTTTTGCCAAGATCCTCCCATTCACTTCTCTTACAACCCCATCTATAAATATATTGAACAACCACGGTGACATCACGCATCCTTGTTTAAGGCCTACTTTTACTGGGAAATAATCTCCCTCTCTCCTATATACTCTAACCTGAGCCTTGCCATCCTCATAAAAACTCTTCACAGCTTTCAGTAACCTACCTCCTATACCATACACCTGCAACATCTGCCACATTGCCCCCCTATCCACCCTGTCATATGCCTTTTCCAAATCCATAAATGCCACGGATACCTCTTTACCCTTATCTAATTACTGTTCACCTATATGTTTCACTGTAAACACTTGGTCTACACACCCCCTACCTTTCCTAAAGCTGTCTTGTTCATCTGCTATCCTACTCTCTATCTTACTCTTAATTCTTTCAGTAATAACTCTACCATACACTTTACCAGGTATACTCAACAGACTTATACCCCTATAATTTTTGCACTCTTTTATCCCCTTTGCCTTTATACAAAGGAACTATGCATGCTCTTTGCATAGGTACCTTACCTTCTTTTTTTTTTTTTTTTTTTTAACAAGTCGGCCATCTCCCACCGAGGCAGGGTTACCCAAAAAAGAAAGAAAATCCCCAAAAAGAAAATACTTTCATCATCATTCAACACTTTCACCTCACTCATACATAATCACTGCTTTTGCAGAGGTGCTCAGAACACAACAGTTTAGAAGCATATACCTATAAAGATACACAGCATATCCCTCCAAACTGCTAATATCCCAAACCCCTCCTTTAGAGTGCAGGCATTGTACTTCCCACTTCCAGGACTCAAGTCCGGCTATATAAAAATAACCGGTTTCCCTGACTCCCTTCACTAAATATTACCCTGCTCACACTCCAACAGATCGTCAGGTCCCAAATACCATTTGTCTCCATTCACTCCTATCTAACACGCTCATGCACGCTTGCTGGAAGTCCAAACCCCTCGCCCACAACACCTCCTTTACCCCCTCCCTCCCTCCTTTTTGAGGACGACCCCTACCCCGCCTTCCTTCTTCTACAGATTTATACACTCTCCATGTCATTCTACTTTGATCCATTCTCTCTAAATGACCAAACCACCTCAACAAACCCTCTTCAGCCCTCTGACTAATACTTTTATTAACTCCATACCTTTTCCTAATTTCCACACTCTGAATTTTCTGCATAATATTTACACCACACATTGCTCTTAGACAGGACATCTCCACTGCCTCCAACCGCCTCCTTGCTGCAGCATTTACAACCCAAGCTTCACACCCATATAAGAGTGTTGGTGCTATTATACTTTCAAAAATCCCTCCTTTGCCTCCATAGATAACATTTTTTGCCTTCACATATACCTCAATGCACCACTCACCTTTTTTCCTTCATCAATTCTATGATTAACCTCATCCTTCATAAATCCATCCGCTGACACGTCAACTCCCAAATATCTGAAAACATTCATTTCTTCCATACTCCTCCTCCCCAATTTGATATCCAATTTTTCTTTATCTAAATCATTTGATACTCTCATCACCTTACTCTTTTCTATGTTCACTTTCAACTTTCTACCTTTACACACATTCCCAAATTCGTCCACTAACCTTTGCATTTTTTCTTTAGAATCTCCCATAAGCACAGTATCATCAGCAAAAAGTAACTGTGTCACTTCCCATTTTGTATTTAATTCCCCATAATTTAATCCCACCCCTCTCCCGAACACCCTAGCATTTACTTCTTTTACAACCCCATCTATAAATATATTACACAACCATGGTGATATTACACATCCCTGTCTAAGACCTACTTTTACTGGGAAGTAGTCTCCCTCTCTTCTACACACCCTAACCTGAGCCTCACTATCCTCATAAAAACTCTTTTCAGCATTTAGTAACTTACCACCTATTCCATATATATGTAACATCTGCCACATTGCTCCCCTATCCACTCTATCATATGCCTTTTCTAAATCCATAAATGCAATAAGAACTTCCCTACTTTTATCTAAATACTGCTCACACATATACTTCAATGTAAACACGATCTACACATCCGCTACCCACTCTAAAACCTCCTTGCTCATCCGCAATTCTACATTCTGTCTTACCTCTAATTCTTTCAGTAATAACCTACCGTACACTTTTCCTGGTATACTCAGTAAACTTATTTCTCTATAATTTTTACAATCTCCTTTGTCCCCCTTCCCTTTATATAAAGGGACTATACACGCTCTCCGCCAATCCCTAGGTATCTTCCCCTCTTTCATACATTTATTAAACAAAAATACCAACCACTCCAACACTATGTCCCTCCGTGCTTTTAACATTTCTGTCATGATCCCATCAGTTCCAGCTGCTTTACCCCCTTTCATTCTATTTTAATGCCTCACGCACCTCCCCCACACTCACATCCTGTTTCTTCTTCACCCCTAAAGATGATATACCTCCCTGGCCAGTGCATGAAATTACCACCCCCCTTTCTTCATCGACATTTAAAAGTTCCTCAAAATATTCTCGCCCTCTACCAAAACCTCCATCTCCCCATCTACTAACTCCCCTTCTCTGTTTTTAACTGATAAATCCATTTCTTCCCCAGGCTTTCTTAAATTGTTTAACTCACTCCAAAATTTTTTCTTATTTCATTAAAATCCTTGACAGTACCTTTCCACTCTATCATCTGCTCTTTTTTTGCACTCTCTCCCCCCTCTTTCACCTCTCTTCACCTTTCTTTTACTCTCCATATACTCTACTCTTCTTAAACACTTCTGCTTTGTAAATACCTCTCATAAGCTTTCCTTTTTCTCTTTTATCACACCCTTTACTTCATCATTCCACCAATCCACTCCTCTTTCCTCCTGCACCCACCCCCTATAACCACAAAACTTCTGCCCCACATTCTAATACTGCATTTTTAAAACATTCCAACCCTCTTCAAACCCCCCCACTACTCATACCTGCCACCAGCCACCTTTCTGCCAATAGTTGCTTATATTCACCCAAACTTCTTCCTCCCTTAGTTTATACACTTTCACCTCTTACTTCTTGTTGCCATTTTCCTCTTATCCCATCTACCTCTTACTCTAACTGTAGCTACAACTAGATAATGATCCGATATATCAGTTGCCCCTCTATAAACGTGTAATCCTGGAGCCTACCCATCAACCTTTTATCCCCCAATACATAATCTAACAAACTACAGTGGACCCCCGCATAACGATTACCTCCGAATGCGACCAATTATGTAAGTGTATTTATGTAAGTGCGTTTGTACATGTATGTTTTGGGGTCTGAAATGGACTAATCTACTTCACAATATTCCTTATGGGAACAAATTCGGGCAGTACTGGCACCTGAACATACTTCTGGAGTGAAAAAATATCGTTAACCGGGGGTCCACTGTACTTTCATTACGTGCTACATCATACCTTGTATATTTATTTATCCTCTTTTTCATAAAATATGTATTACTTATTACCAAACCTCTTTCTACACATAGCTCAATTAAAGGCTCCCCATTTTCATTTACCCTTGGCACCCCAAATTTACATTTTTTCCCACTTTACCATTAAAATCCCCAACCACAAGTACTCTCACACTTTGTTCAAAACTCCCCATGCAATTACTGAACATTTCCCAAAATCTCTCTCTCTCCTGTATACTTCTCTCTTCCCCAGGTGCATAAATGCTTACTATAACCCACTTCTTACATCCAACCTTAATTTTACTCCACATAATCCTTGAATTAATACATTTATAGTCCCTCTTTTCCTGCCATAACTTATCCTTCAACATTATTGCTACTCCTTCTTTAGCTCTAACTCTATTAGAAACCCCTGACCTAATCCTATTTATTCCTCTCCACTGAAACTCACCCACCCCCTTCAGCTTTGTTTCACTTAAAGCCAGGATATCCAGCTTCTTCTCATTCATAACATCCACAATCATCTCTTTCTTATCATTCACACAACATCCACACACATTGAAACTTCCCACTTTGACAATTTTCTTATTCTTTTTAGTAATTTTTACAGGAAAAGGGGTTACTAGCCCATTGTTTCCAGCATTTTAGTTGACTTTTACAATACACATGGCTTACGGAGGAAAGATTCTTATTCCACTTCCCCATGGATATAAAAGGAAAAGTAATTAGAGCAAGAACTAAGATAAAATCAAAGAAAACTCAGATGAGTGTGTATAAATAAACGTGTACATGTATGTTTAGTGTGACCTAAGTGTAAGTAGAAGTAGCAAGACGTACCTGTAATCTTGCATATTTATGAGACAGACAAGACACTAGCAATCCTACCATCATGTAAAACAATTACAGGCTTTCGTTTTACACTCACTTGGCAGAACGGTAGTACCTCCCTGGGTGGTTGCTGTCTACCAACCTACTACTAAGTATATTCCTAAATTGATTTGCAGGTAGGAAAAACATGTGTAGTGAGTTATTGAAATAGAGATGTTAAGGATGTTACAAAGAGGGAAATAATTGTGGGAGAATATTTGATAGTGAAAGGTATTACTTAATGAATTAACTGTGTGTGTATTGTGAATAAGTATGGAATATTTAAGCAGCTTGTAAAGTTTTAATTAATTGTGACAGTATTTTTTTTAGTTATGTTCTTGACATAAGTTCTTGTTATATGTTTGGCAGCAATATCTTGCGTGCATATAGGTGCAAGGCGTTTGTCATTTAATTTGATTGAGATCCATACTGTTTCTTTATTTTTATGTTAAACTGTATTGGTTTTAAATAAAATATAAAAAAAAAAATTTGGTTCACTGTACAAAACCTCATAAGCAGAATGCCTCCCCAGATTATAATGTTTTTGGAAAATATCTTAAAGAATATATACATGTATATAGTTTGATTTGACACATTATATAGTAAATGTTTTGTTAGCAAATAAAAAATAAGTATATATAATGAAATGAAGCCTTTTATAAATTAAGATATTTGTGAAACCTCTTCTTCACCTTCTTCTTTACACCAAATAGTTGTATGTTAGGAAGGCAAAATGCTGACAAGTTATTCAAGGGCATTTATGGTAGATCAATCTATATTAGATAACATTTTGCTTAAAGGTGAACAAAATGATGTCTAATAAAATTTTGTTCTGCTACATCTGTATTACCCTATAGTAAACAATTATCCTCCCATTCTTCCAGACGAACTGCTGATGTAAGATCTGTAGGGTACTCTGAGCTGTTCAGTCTTTCCAGGGAAGATGTTCTTATGGCAATGAAAGATTATCCTGAAGCACAGGTAAGTGATGAGGCTTGAAATTATTATATTTATGTGGAAGTGCAAAACTTGCAATGATCATTCGGGTCTCTGTGAATGGGAAAGGGAGGGGGTAATTGCATAGAATTCTTTATTTGGCATCAAGAGCCCTTCACCAGACACCTTAGTTATTGTTTATACACCACCATATAAGAGACACAATGCACTTCCAGTGATCATTTTACAGTTTAGAAAGATTTATTATATATTCAGTGTTTATGTGCTTTTCTGATCAAACAGAATATGAAACGCAATTTTAATATTATGTATGATACATATCATTATTTTAGGAAAAATATTTTAAACTCATTCTGCAGTTATATAATTATTTTATCACATTTTAATACACAAATGTTGATAAGTACATCTTTCCCTGTGAGAACAGGAGATCCTTCAGAGTCTAGGACGCAAGAGATTGATGGAAGCACGTCACACAACCTCCAAGTCTGGCTCCTCAGGCTCCAGTAAAAGAGGAAGTCCTTTGCCTAACAGAGACGGCGTTTTTGATGAGAAAAATGCTAAGAAGATTGTTAGCCGAATAAGATCAGATGTTTCTGCAATCAGGAATGCCTTTCGGAGGAGTAAGGGCACTACTAAGTAAGATTCAGATGTTTTTTTTATAGTATTATTAAACTTGTAGCTAGATGTTGTAACTAAGTGAAACAAAGTTAGGTGGATTAAGAGAAGTTTGAGAGATGAGACTTGACAACAAGACACAATATGCAGAGCAAATATTGATTTACAAACAACAAATAAAGAATTGTTCAGCACTTTGCATCATTCTAAAAGGTTAAGAGTTTGAATGGGAAGAGGTTAAATGAATTAGTTGAGTATAATCAACTGAGTAAGAGTTAAAGAGTTGAATTACTGTTGAAAGAATTGAGAGAAGAAATGATAGAGAAATTCTGGCACTATTATATACTCTCAAGTTGTACACAGTCATTGAGGACCCCTTATCTGGCCTTAGTGTGCTCATTCATGTAACACCTTGGTTATTAGTAATGTTCAGACTGTTACAGAATATGAATATCAGTACAAATGAAATATTGTAATCAAAATATAAAATTAAATAAATACTGCATATATTTAGTTGAATACTTATTGATTTCTTAAATAATTCTCATGACAACAGTTAATGTATTAGCCAGCAATATCGTGTAGTAAGTTGGTAAACAAAACAATGCAGAAGATACTACCATCCTGCCATACAAGTTTGAAATGGAAGTCTACTCAACATTTTGTACTTTGGTAGGATTTCTGGTCATCTCATGAACATGTAAGATTGCAGATATATAAATCCTGCAAGCTTTTATTTACATTTAGTATATATTTAGTCTCATTTTCCTGTGTTTCTCTGAATAGTTTGTGGTCACACACAGTTCATTGTCATTTCACTGTTCCCATCCCATCTTCCTCTCAGGATGAGAGGTTGTATTAAAAGTCCCTCCTGTGACTCTACAATGCTGTGATTCTTGCTATGGTCTACTAGACAATAATAATAATAATATGCCGGGAGCAAGGGGCTAGTAACCTTTTCTCCTGTATATATTACTTAATGTAAAAGGAGAAACTTTTGTGTTTTCTTTTGGGCCACCCCGCCTCGGTGGGATACGCTCGGTGTGTTGAAAGAAAGAATAATAATAATAATCCTTATTTCTGCAAGTACATAATACAACTTATACAGATCTTGTTGATAACTTCCCTGTTTGCTTGTTACATCACTCATGCAGTTTTGGTCTGCCATGAGATGTTTTTCTGGATGTAAATAGTCTGCTTAAGGTGGTCAAGGAGGAATTAACAGTGGGACTCTTCTGTGACACCGTGTGAGAAGCCACACTTCACTTCCAGTGATGGCCAATCTACAGAGGTGGTTCACAATGTTTGGTCTACACTCCTTTCCTCTTCAGAGGAAATGGTTAATGCTTCTGAAGTGATAAATAATTGATTCAATCATTAGAAAAGCTATCAGCAAACTGATGAAAGATCAGGTTCAGACTAGAAGGTAACAAGGTTTGGTTTCTAAACAAATGGATTCTAATACTTCTTTATCGGTTAACCTTTCCTTGGTCAGATGTTCAGCAGAAATAAAGTTAAGACAGAAGGTCTTTCATAAAGATTACAGCTGGTTCTGAATCATGGATAAGCAAAGTGTTAATAAATGGGTGTATGATTCTCTGTGGGAGTTGTCACAGTTGCTCTTTGCTGATGACACTGTGCTTTTGAGAGATTCTGAAGATTTATTATTATTATTATTATAATCAAAAAGAAGCACTAAGCCACAAGGGCTATACAGCAAGAGATTCTGAAGAGAAGTTGCAGAGGTTTATTTATTTGGGCATGATACATAGTTGTACAAAGAAATATAGTGATTGGGTGTATATGCCAAAAACCCCTTGTATATAGAGCATTATGGGCAGGCTTAAAATTAACCTAAGATTAACTAAGCAACGATATATTCAGTGGTAAAAATTACAGTAAACAAATTACAACATGAAATACAAATGAATATTTCAAATAAGAAGCATTAAAGTTGTACAGATTTGTGGCATAACAATGTATAATCGGATCAGATCGAGTAAAATCAATGATTTGTAGTGCAGAAACAGGTCATATGGTCATTAGACGAGTTACGGTGCATTCAAGAGAATGGAGTATTCTATTAGGTAATGTAATTAAAAAAAAAACAGTTGATAGGGTCACGGGTTATACATTTATGAGATTCACTTATTCAGTATTTATTTAGTTGTGGCTGAGCAAGTGGTTTTTAAGAAGAGTCTTGAATTGATAAACAGACAGTATTTCTTTTATATTCACAATTAATGGTTCAAACAGCAATATTTCATGGATTGGCAGATGTTTTAATTGACTCGAGGTCATATTATTGTGATTTTGAGAGTAAAATTGTCATATTAATGCATGCAATTTGCTTATATACAGTATGAGGTTAAATTCCTTGTATGATTATTAGGTCTCTCGAAGGGGCTTCTCTTTCACAGGTCCATATTTACAAGACACTGTTGACTCATGCATTAGTCTCAAGTCCCTGGTTTATGACCTTACTTCAGTGGTAGTTGTAGGAAAGGTTTCAGAGATTTTTATCACCTCTCTTGCATTGCTGAAAAGAGTTTGAAACATTTTTATTATATGGTCATAGTGAACTGCCATAGAAGTTACCTGTGGCCTGATAATGAAAAGTTCACATATCCTCTGGTTGTTGAACCTGATCTAAGACCTAACCAGAAAGTTTGAAGTGGCACATCAAGCCTTATATAAAGTTTTAGTTGTGTGATATAAACAGTAAAGAATATTATACCAAAATGATCAGGTGGAGATAATGATAATATATGCAAGTGGTTCTCGAAGTCCTCCTATTTGTGGATGCCACAGGTGTACATGGAACTAGGTGTTTTGACAAAATTGTAATAAAAGATTGTAACTTTCAAGAATTGGGTGGGAGTCAAACTAGAGGTCAAGCATGTGCTAACCATACTCTCTACCACTGGACAGTGAAAGTTACAATAAAATTAGCAACTTTTTTTTTTTTTGCAGGTAATGTTTGCAGATGCCCCAGCTATTATGTCAACTATAGGTTTTTTCACAGCAAGTCTGTTTTTAGTGAGAGACTGACTTAAAAAAAAAAAATTGTATATATCAAAATTAAAGTGCTGCAGACATTACTTGGGATATGGTTGCCAATTTTATCATAACATTCACAGTGTATTATTAATGCACACTAGACCTTGAATTCAGATCCCTCAGATTCCTTGAAAAAATGTAATTAGGTTTTTGCCTGTGAATATACAAGAATGCTGGTCGTGCAGAATGTGTAAATTAGTACATTTTGACATATATGTGATGTTCAGTACTTCTTTAATTGGCAGGGAGATTAATTTACACTAGTCTTATTCTGAGGATGTTGGGTGTTGCTTGTGGCCTGTAGTAAGTGATCCTCTGCTTTTGCTTGATGGTTCCTTAAAAAAGTTTCCCCCCCAAAAAACAGGTTATAAGGTTCCTGTATAAGTACTAAGGTCCTATGAGTTTTCCATCTTCCTGTTGCAGCTGCTGCTCCATAATTAGGGAGAGAATGTTAAGATTACTAAGTGGCAGGATTCCTAGTGGTTCATCAGAATCCATATGTGCAATACAACACTTTAAAGAAACAAAAAACAAATGCTTTCTGTTTAAGGTTTGATGTATCATGAAGACTGCTACTTCCCCATGTGAAGTGTTTCAATTAATGTTGATTCATGAATGGAAAATAATTATTGTAATTCAAAATAAGAGGTGGAAGAAACAAACTGAGGTAAGGAGGCCCTTAAACTTATAGTTTAAAATATTTCTTCCCTTAAACTGAAGAGTTTAAAAGAAAAAACAGAGGGGTCATTTTCATGGTAGATCAGTGGATCTTTAAAATGTTACAACAGAATCCCTTAGTTTTCTGAAGAACTCCACATTTTGAAGACAATATAATAATAATAAATTTATTTTGACATGATGCAAGGAATACATGTATAATAGTTGGGTGTACATGCCAAAAGCCCCTTTGTGTGCAGAGCATTTTGGGCAAACTTATTAATCTTAAGGCAATAATAGTTCATATGGTCATTAGATGAGTTACAGTGAGTACAAGAGAATTGAGTATTATTAGGTAATGCTATATGGCTTTAGTAAGTCTAGTAAGAAGTTCAGTAGAGAATAATTACATTATTGAATTAGTTTATAAAAATTACAGTATTACAGTAGAACAATTTAAAACAATTTACAGTATGATGTATTACAATTAAGTACTATTTAAAACAATGAAATTTAAACATCCTAATTTTGAAGTGATGAGTAAATGGTTGAGCAATCCTCAGCACAATATGCAGTAATGAAATTGAAACAAAAGTTGAGCAGTCTTAAATTATTTAGAAGTTGTTTTGAGTAGCTTTTGAATAACTGGTAGGTATTAAGTACTGTTTGTCTGGTTAATTTTGGGTGATGAGGCAATTTCTAGGTAGGGCCTTAAACTGATTTGCATGCAGGGGTCTTTTAGTGTGTTCTGGCAGTGAATTCCAGATTTTCAGACCCTTTATATGCATAGCATTTTTGCATAGGGAGAGATGGACACGAGGGATATCGAGAGTGATTTTTGTCTCATATTATGGCTGTGTGTTCTGTTATAGTTTTCAAGGAGGAGTTTGAGAGGAGGGTTTATATTTGAGTGTAGTGTTCTATGTGTGTAGTAGGCACAATAGTAAATGTGGATGTTTTGTATATTAAGCAAGTTAAGACTCTAGAAAAGCAGTGAAGTATGTTGTCTAGTGCAGGAGTTAGTAATCAGTTGCACTGCAGCTTTTTGTTGTGTTATTAAAGGTTTAAGGTGATTTGCTATGATTGAGCCCCATTCACAAATACCATAGGTGAGGTAAGGGTAAGTGAGAAAGTGGTACAGAGCAAGAAAGGATGCCTACTGTTTGGGAGACTTTCTTGGAAATTTACTGTGTTTGTGTCTGAAATTTGAGACTGCAGTCAAGGTGGAGACCTAGAAATTTGCCATCTGTCTGCTTAGAATTGGGTGAATCATTTATCAATATGTTTAGCTGTACATTTGAAGCTCTGTTTCCAAATAGCATGAAGTAGGTTTTGTCTATATTGAGAGTAAGTTTGTTGGTGGTCATCCAAGTAGATATTTTTAGCAGTTCAGCATTAACAGTGTCTGTTAGTATGATTGGGTTTGGGTGAGAGAAGACACAAGTAGTGTCATCTACAAATAAAATGGGTTTAAGGAGATTAGATGCATTTGGGAGGTCATTGATGTAAATGAGAAAAAGAAGTGGGCCAAGGACACTTCCCTGTGGGACTCCAGCAAGAACAGGTTGTGTAGTGGAGCTAGCTCCACTACACAACCTGGTCAACTGTATCAAAAGCTTTTTGTAAGTCTGTGAGAAGTCCCAGGGGAAATTAATTTTTTTTGAGTGCAGAATGTATTAGTTCAAGCATATGTATAATAGCATCATTAGTACATTTTTTCGGTCTGAATCCAAACTGACAGGGATTGAGTATGTTGTGGGATACTAAGTAGGAGTAGACTTGTTTGTGAATTAATTTTTCGAAGATTTTAGATAGTAGGGGGAAATTTGATATAGGCCTATAGTTGTTCATTTCAGCTGGATCACCTCCTTTGACGATTGGGGTGACCCTTGTTGTCTCGAGTATGAATGGGAAGGCGGAAGATTCAATGGATTTGTTAAAAAGTTGCAATAATTGGTGACATGTGAGAGGCTTATTTATACATGAGTGGTGGTAAGTTATTTAGATCTCCTGCCATGTTCTTTAGTGTTTCGATGATGAGCAAGATTTCATTAGGGTTTGTTGGGGCTAAAAATAGAGTATTTGGGTAGCTGCCAGTGAGTTAGTCTTTTGATTGAATGTTTGAGTTTGGGATTTTGCTTGCTAGCTTTGTTCCTACGGTCGAGAAGAAGACAATAAATTTGTTGGCAGCATCAGTTGGCTGGAGGAGAGGTTCTTCTGGTTTTGTTTAGTTAATCATTCTGTTTTGTGACAGCTTTTTAGATCCTAGAATTACCAACCATATGGGAATATACCACTATACAGGAAAAATAGTCGCTGGGAGGTCTCAAATTTTCAAGCTCAGTAATTAGATTTAAAAAAAAAAAAAAAAAAAAAAATGGACTCATATTATCCCTGGATGGTTCAAACACCCTGTGAATATTGCAATAGAGAACCATCAGTGGGAAAATCATCTTAACCCTTTGCTTCTTTTGCAATACTACTTCAATATACAAAACCTACAAGACATTAGTTTATCAGCTACTCAAGGCTTTCATTTAAGAAAAAGGATATATACTCTGTATATTTTGGCAAGCTTAATCCTTAAAACATATTTCTTTATCATATACACACAAAAATAATTTAAAAATACACTTGCACAAAAGAGAGGGCAAGGTAATCATGATTTCTTATTAATACAGTATATCAGCATAATAAGAATGACAGCTTTTACTGTTCTTCACAAAAAAAAAAATGTTTTCATAATATACCTACCACTCGACTTACGACCGTGTTTTTTATGCCAAATTTCTGGGAAATAAACAACTATTTGTGTTGTACACAGTGTTTATCCTAAACCTTACAGTATAAAATACAGTACTAACAGCATAAAAAGTAAAGTAAAACATGAAATACCAAAATAAAACAATAAAATAAAGTCATTACAAAAATGTTTTGTTGATATTCAGTAGTAAAGTCGACTTACGACCGGTTTCTCGGAACCGAACTCGGTCGTAGGTCGGATGGTAGGTGTACATATTTAAATGAACTCTCCCTCTTCTTTGACATTGGTTCAGTTTTGTTAAATACACGCAATATTTTTGTTAAAGTGGTAATGTAATATAACTGTGCATTGAAAGTAGTAAAATTATCTACTGTATATCTTTTCCATCTAACAGAAATGTATAGTTACTAAATATTAAAAAGGAACGCTTCATTAAATTTCTGCTTACAAACTCCATGGATAACATTTTCTTAAAACTTAAAATTGACTTTAAAGCCAAGTTTCATATGGAAAGTATCAGTAGTTAATACATTATGGTGTTTCTGCTCTGATATATAGGCTACAGGAAATATTTATAATTTGGTACATGTTAAGGCATGAAATTTGCTGATGCAGTACACCGAAGTGATTCATTTTTACATAGATAACTTAGTCATTTAAAGGTTCGAGATACTTCGACAACGCACTGTATTGCATTCAGTTATGCCACTGAATTTCCATCTTATAATCCTAATTTTATTAAAAGACGCTTTGTATATCACAATACCACTCAACATAGCATCGGTACATACTTTGCTCCTATTACAATCTTGCTCTTAAGATCTGTGATAGGACATACTTCAACTCTACAACTGCAAAGTGTCAAGCTTAGCATCAATGTTGTCTGTCTAGTTAATAATTTATAAATTAGTCTGCCAAGCTGTCTCCCATACAATTACCCATTTATCTGTCCATTCCTCCCATATCTGTTATTGTTTATCTGTTTGCTTTTATATACATGTCAGACTTTTTCATCAACTAAAGGTATCTCTTTGTTCATGCTTGGTGTCATTTTTTTTTTTTTAAATATGTGCTTATTTTTTGTAGTTATTTTGTAATGAGACAAGTACAGTATTTTGAACATTCCATCATTCTACACATGAAATACTATAATTTTATTTATCATAACATCACAAGGTAGGTGCTTCATTTGTAGTATTTCTTAGCCACTTTATGACCATTGTATTCAGAGTGGCTCATGTCATCATAACTGTTTTCATCTAAATATCTCTTTCAGAACATCAGTATTCATCTCATTTAATGTTTGCTTTTTATGTACTCCAAAGCTTAGCTTTGCATTTTTATTTATTCCCTGTAATAATCAGTTCTAAACACCATTTGCCCAATTCCCTCCATATCTGTTGGAACTCAAGAATCTTTTTCCTTCTAGAATTAACGTATTTTCATAATTCTTTTGCAGCCTCTTCTATGCAACAAAAACTAAAGCACTTAGAATACAGACTCTTCATCTTTACTTTGCTGAGCTTAGCACAGTTTCATTTCACTCTGGCTGTCAGGCACCCTTTCTAGTTGATCTTACCTTCCTTTTTCTTCTAGGTACATCGAGACTCTGGAACAGGACAATTTTACTGGAAGAAAAACGTAAGAAAATTGCTTTGATCACACCTCATGCACTGACTGCCTTTGTCTTGCTTAATTTCTTTAAAAATATAAACATACACATTAATAATAAAGAATTAAATTATTTCTGTTTCATAGCAGTATTTTTAACAGTATTCCTTAGGTTTCACATATTGTGTGAAAGACTTGGGGTGGGTATATCTCAACTTCATCTATTATTGCACGATAATATTAAGCATTTATTTTTGTCATTGTTTATTTTGCAAATCAGTATGTCGGCTTTAAATGTCAAAAATATGTAGATATGAATATATTAGTAGAAAATATGAATATAGTCATGTAATCCTATTTACTCATAGTGATCATTAGAGATACCCGGGTGTTGCACATGTGTATTATTTGTCATCTAGATTTAGTGGTGTTAATGAAATGTGAACACTGAATGTTAATATACTGTATATGCATAGAGAATGAATTATGAAGTGATGAAGATATGCTTCTTGTAGAATAAAGTGTTAAACCTGTAGAAAATAGATTTAGTTTGTAGAAAAATTCAACTAATAATCTTATTGTTGCATTAACGCTGTGTGGCTCATGACACCAGCAGCATCGTACACATAAAACGAAACTTTTACATCTTCTGTTATTCAGATATTCTATTTTGCATCAAATTTATGCAGGAAATTTACTGTATTTTCCAGCTGAGATATAAAAACCAGTTAACATATGAGCTCCAAGAATACTTATTCCTTTAAATAACCTCTAGTTTGGATGTTAAGGTATAATCCAGTTATGGATTTAGAAACTATACATAAGAAGCATTTTATTAGTATTACAGTTTGCTCAAGATTAAGCTTCATCAAGTCGTCATCAGCTTGAAGAAAACTCAACCCTCAGTGAAATGTAGTCCCAATAAAAGCTTGTTGTGCATAGTTTGTCTGTACCCAAACATCTAGTTTAGTTTCTAGTTATAATCTCATGCCTAATATTTTTTTTTAAAGCAAGACATTAAAACTCCAAAATAAACCAGTGTTTTCAGGTTATTGTCTTCGATTTATTAACGAAATTTGTCAATATCATCGGGCACCTTGAGTTGAATGACAATCAGGTTGCCAGAATGTTGTCCAGCGGTATCTGGCCAATGTCACCGGCTCCACTACTAGCTCTCTTAGATCTTGTGTCTGTTGCTTTGCACAATTTCTCTGTTATTCAGACTTTTTAGTTATCTTTACATCTTAAGCCACCTCTTATTTCTGTATAACTGCTGATCTTGTTCTCAGATGAATGTGCTATGCTGGATTATGTTCCTTCATTGTACCTTTCTATGCTCTGACTTTTCATCTTAATCTTTTCTTGAGTTTGTTTTAGTACCATTTTTTGGGGCATAAGTCCAAATTTAAATTATGCCCCACTTTCCTCTTGTCTCGTTTTCACCTTCAGTCTGGGATCACTTGGCTTTCTAGCCTCACTCCTTTCAGCTGTCAGCTTTTGTGGCTTACTCTTCCCTGTTTCTCTTCAAGGGACACTGAGACCCTGGAATTGGAACATCTTACTGGCGACAACCACTCCAGCACTGAAGATGATACCCCAGCTGTGAAGCGTATTTTGAAGTGAGTAGCGACTGTGGCAGTAGGAAAGATTACGAGTTTCACCTAGATTGCTTCATTGTAACTGGTATAAAAGCAATCTTGTGAGGTGTAAGAAAAAGTAGGTTGAGATTTATAGGTGTATAAAATACTGTACATATATAATTAGCTATTTTGAGAAGGATGACAGCGTAACATAAATATGACAGGAATTTGGGAAATACATAAACCATTAGGCTCAGTAGCTTGTAGTAATTGATATGTGAGGGGGAGGATCACCTCCTACCCAGGTCAGTCACCATCTTCCTCACTGTAAAAAAAAAATAAAAAAGGGGGTGGGGCAGAGAATTTTTCATGAAAATAATTGTTGTAAAGTAGGGATACAATTCAGTCTCACTTATTTTGTAATAAAAGGACAACTTAATTCCAGTAATATATGGTATTTGTGGTATTATTAGGTTTTTGGAGGGTATGTCGAGTTTATGAACTTATTGGAAGTTAGGAATTATGGAGTATGTACTTAAATGATTTTGAAGAAGCAGTGACATAGCTCATAGAGACTGCAGAGGATATATGGGTAGCAGGCAGTAAGAGTAGGCTATGAGTAGCAGGTGAATGGAAGGTGTTTTTGTCAGTACACATTTTATTTTTAAGCCAGTTCATAAAAGTGTAGAAGTTGGGCAATGGGTATTTTACTGTTGGGCAGTTTAGTGCTGGATGAGTTGCCCATGTATTTGGTGTTGGCACTCAGAATTCAAATTTAAATCCTATAGAATTTTTATAAAATATTCTCAATATTATCAACATTATAGTCAGAGTTAAGAAACTATGACTGTTTGATGCAAAAAATGGAGTGTGTTTTTGCTCCATGGTGACACTCATGATTCATAATTAAAAAGGAAAATCATAGAATAGTTGAAAAATACAGTATACACTTTATTTATTGAACTCGTGTTTCTCTTTTTTTTGCTGCTCTCTTATGATTTTCCAGTGTTAATGTCATTAGAGCCATATTAAGGCAATATAGCTACAAAATTAGGTATTATATATCCTGCTCTAAAGAATAAATTTTTTTTAAATTTAGGAAGGATATGAAAACATTTGAGGAACCATTAAGTAATTGATTCAGAACCAGTGTTCACTCATTGTTTCAAACCTTTCCATAATCAGGAGAAATTTATATATATATATATAATTTGTTCTGGTTTTTCATTATTATTTTTATCATACTGTATTTTGATTATGGTTTGGTGGCTTATGCCAGGCAAGATTGAAATCTGTGCCACTCCAGGGATGGATAAACATGGTGTGGGTGGCTTACATTCTAGGATGCTGCAAATGGTGGGGTACATATCTTAATTCGTTCTACACAATTTGTTGAGTTCACCAGAGAAGCACTAATCAAGTTCTTCCAACCTTGAGAAAACCAAGTGATGTATGAACATAGTTAAGTAAAGCAGTCTATTCAACACCTCAGCACATACAAAAGTGGTACTCATGAGGCACCTCCTGTATGCAACTAGCATCTTGACCAAACAAGCATCACTGAGCCAAACATAGCCTAGTGATGCTCCATTTTGAAATGCTACAGCAAACTGCATCTCATGCAATAATCAGGAGGAGAGGAAACACCTTAAGAAAACTGGATGTATTGAAGGAGCCACAACTGTGTGCTGTAATTTTTTCCCAGCTTCAGTGCATTCAGTTTTACCCCAGTTAGTATGAGTGCCAGAAATCCATCAAGTGGTAATAAATTCTTTTCTGAAGGTATATACAGTTGAAGAGGAAATGGGGTTACCCACTTTAATATTTATTTATATAGTTTTTGGAAGAGCATGGCATATACATACATGTCTTGAGGATCTGAAGGATGCTTTTTTATTGTTGTAAGCCTAATGGCCCACTTGGAAAACAACCTACACATATTTACACCAATTACTCGCTTCTCTAAGCTCAGTAAAGAGACTCTTGCTCTTACTTTGGTTAATAATAAGTGCCTCTGCTTCAGCTGCACATGTGGGCACACAAGCTGCCACTCTTATGTAACATGCACAGGTCTTTTGTGGTCATTTTCTGTGCAGATTAGTCAGGAATAACAGTGACAACAGCTGAGAGAGGAGGATATCCGTGGGTCACAAGGCTTTTGATGCAGAAATGCTCTTTTCGTATATCCAATGTATTCTTTGGTGAAGTCCTGGTGGCCCACCTGGAGCTGTACCAATAGCTTACAACATGGCCAATACAGCTGTAAAATGGAGAGAGGAGTCATTTATTCAGATTGTATGTACTAGAATTCAATTTTAGGAAGGGTGAGGTTTGCTAAGTTGTACTCAGCAGATGATCTAATTTTGTGGATCTTGATCAAGAATCTGCAGTTGGTTGCAGGGACTTAGCCTGAAGGCAGCCTCCTGGTGTTTGCAGACATTAAAGTCACAGTAGCAGTAGTTTCATTGCAAAGTCTCAGATCATCAAAGAACAAAAACAGAAGATATCAGTGAAAAATGACTGGGCAAATGCCTTACTAGGTCGCATGTGCCAAATATCTTTTCGCATTTACGCAGAGTGAAGTACATGTACTGTACTGCTACTGAATTATGACCCCAGGCAGGGTGATTCTTTTATCTAATTTTATAATCTCAGTCATGTGTGGCACATTCACCTAAGTATAGAATTAACCTCTCCAGAGCCCAGCACAATATCCTTAGAGTGACCATACAGGTCAAGAGGAAATATCCTTAGTTATGTTGGCAATGCCAAGTGTGGGACTATGATTTTATGTTTCATGGGGAAGTGCTAAATCCATAGAGCACCTGGGAAATGGTAGATAATTATGCTTGATTTAAATGAGGGGAGAATAGCTTAAACTTCTTGGATCAAGAGCTCATCAAGGCATCCCCATGAAGGATGGTTGTAGTAATTTCATCAGGAAACAATGCAATATCTCCTGACATGGGTCTTAATCAGATGATGTGTTCAGTGTATGAACATACATGTACAGGACTCCTAAAGCTACAGTAGGTGTTCCACCTTATTTAAACACTACCACATAATGTATCCTAAGGTAATGCCATATTTTCCTTGAAGGGCTCAATGTTATGTTATTCACATTACAGTCATGTACTGGGAGACCTATGGGATTTGATTTGACAATCTTTTCTGGCATTCCCATGGTTTTGACAATTTTTTTTTTTTTTTTTTTTTTTGGGGGGGGGGGCAGCTCTCGCAATCTCTTCTTCCTCACGGCAAAGATCTTGTGATATGGAGACCATTCATCTTTTTATTTGCCCAGGTACATCAACTGTTGCAGGGGTCTTCATCTGAAAACCTGCTCTGGTGACATCATCATATGGACTTTCTTTCTCTGTTCTCAGAACCATCGTCCTAGTGAAGCTGACTGCCTCATCTGGCAGGCATATGGGTTAACATATAGCCTGCTGCTGTCTCCTTTGCTTAAGCACATTGTCTCTTGCCTTGCTTAGTTGCATTTTTTTCTTTCATTGCTTCATTGTTTCCTTCTGCATTACTGGTTCCCAACCTTGTGAGCACTTCATGCTTGGATTTTTTGTAGACTGTTTTGTGGCTGTGTTTTACAGTTATGAGGGCTTAGGTACTTTGGCAGTTTTAAGAGGAACATCCAACCTCATGTTTTTGGAGAGTGAATCTGCTGACCACATAGTGGCTGAAAATGACCTTGCCTACAATTACTGCTGACTACAATTACAACTTACAACCCTGATCATGTATTCAGTGCCAGTAAAATGGTTATCTTAGTGTATGCCTTCAACTACATTAACAAGTAGGAGTAGGACAAATCATATCTGCCCTCTATCTGGGAGTTTAATAAGACTAATGTATTACAGGAAATGAAAGTGTAATTATACAGGTAAAACAATGGGAAAACTCATTGCCACAATGGACAGCTCCAAGATTGGTGTGGCAGAATACTGGTATATGTTTAGCATGAAAATGCATCTATGAAATGCTTAAATCATGTGGAATGCTAAAAATCATATGGAATGCTAAAATCATGGAGACTGAAAACAAAAAATATCTCTTTACTATAGCACTCAAGTAACAAAGGAGCTGTCCGAATACTGGATTACTATTTATTCTCAGCTAAAATATTACTGAAAACAAGAACATTTTAGGACTTGCATGGACTGCTTTTGTTAGATACTTTTATGGGCCATATCATAAGTTTAATAATAGTAAAGAAATTAAGGCAAGAATTTTTTTCCCAGGAACACGTTCTCATTAATTCAACTAATTGATGAAAATGTATTGATCTCATGTAGATTATTATATGAAGAGATTCATGTCCCAAATCATTACTTGCAACAAATATCCAGCAAGACAACAATATTGTATTTCTTGGAAGTTTATATCATGGAAAACTATTAGTACTATCAATCACTAATGGGAGAAAGTCATGTTTTTCACATTGAAAGGTACATAGAAAAATAAATTGCCTGAATTTGTCTTTTAGTGAGGTGAAAAACTGACAAGACAAGTCACCCATTTTGAAAGAGGGGACCCTCACATGCTGAGGGTCTGGGTTCAATTCCCAGCAAAGGTGGGAACATTGGGCATGTTACCTTACACCTGTTGTCCATGTTCACCCATCAGTAAAATGGGTACCTGGGTGTTAGTTGACTGGTGTGGGTTGCATCCTGGGACAAAACTGACTTAATTTGCCCAAAATGCTTTGCATAACAAGGGGCTTTCTATATAGTAGTACAGTAGGGTTCCACTTACATGGCAGGTTAAGTTCCAGGCTACCGCTGTAAAGCAGAACGCCATGTAGTACACTCATTACTTAAAGTATTTGTAGTCTTAATGTAGGGTGAGATAAGTAGTACTTATTTTAAGAAATCAGGTGTGGTAGGTATGGCAGCCAGCCAGGTTACCATATCAGGCCACCCCACCCACATATGATATATGTACTATGACATTTAAAGCATCCCAGAGTGATAAAATGCATATACAGTTCACTCATTACTTACATTAAAATATTTGTAGTCTTA